ATGTGTTTAGGTTGTCCACTAAAAGCTATGTAATGCTTTATGAAGCGAACGGCTGGATCTATTTGTTTGTTGGCTCAAATTATTCGGTGAAAGCCCCTGAGTGTTGTAAAACAATTTGAACTAAAAATTCTGGCCCCTTATTAAATAAAATGTGTTTAATCAGTTTGCAAAAAACTTTGTAACACTGTTTTAAATGAACGGCTTGATTGATTTTTAAGTTTGATGGACCACATTATTTGGTAAGATTTCCTGTGTGTTTTGCTTTTTAAGTTTGATGGATCACATTATTTGGTAAGATTCCCTGTGTGTTTTGCAACTATTTAAGCTAAAAATACTGAACTGTGGTTAAATAAATGTATTTAATCGATTTAAATTCTGGCAAATTACTGCGTAAAATGTGTTTAATCTATCTGCTAAAAAGGTACGTATGTTTTGAGCAAACGGTATGACCAATTTTAAACTTGGACAGCAGTAATTACTCAGTGAGATCCCGTGAAACATACTTCAGGGTATAGATGAACTGAAGGAGATAAAAGAAACCCTCCAGAAGCAATCAAAACTATCTTATGAGAATATGGACTGGTTGTTAAAAATTGAAACCCTCCTAGAAGAGCAAAAAAAAACATGTTAAAAAATTAACCACCAAAAACAACATGTTGAAAACAAAAATAGCCGAGCTAGAAAGTCGTCTGAATTCCACAGAACAGTTTCAACTGAAAAATACAATTGAAATTAGAGGAATTCCGGAGAAGCAGGTCTGGGTATCAAGTTGAGTCCGGACGATCTTGATTACGCCGTGAGACTCAAGCCCAAGCAAGAAGGGCTCCAGGCCCAATTATTATAAGATTTGTCAGACAAGCGGTGAGAGATGAGCTAGTGCGGCAGCAAAGAACAAACAGAGATTTCTTTACATGCCATCTAGGCTGGGAAGAGAACAACTCCCACCGCGTTTATGTGAGTGAAATCATGATGCCCGCCAATATACACCTTCATTGGTTAACCAGGCAGAAGAGGGTGACTGGTTTAGTGGGGGGTAAAATTCGCCGCAGGCATTCAGATGGATACCCAGTAGTAATTATAAGAAAACCAAGTGATCTGGACGTTTTCAGTTGAACTTTGTATATAACTTAACCTTCAGTTTGCAGTTAATTTACTTTTTCTCGCTAGAAATATTCTTATCATAATTTTTTTCATTTCCAGCTTTTTTTATTTTTTTATAAATGTAGCTTTTTTTTATTTTTGTATACATTTTTTTTCATCAGAAATATTTTTATTTTTATTTTAAGTATTTTTATTTTTGTACAAATTATTTGGAACTTTATTTAATTCTTTGCCAATCTTTATCAATTTATCTAAACCAAAGGGATATTTATATTTGCTTAAGTTATAAATTAGTATCCTGTTCTATCGTCGTCTACCCTTTGCAGAGCAGAAACTTGATCAATACCAATGCGGATTTAGACAAAGAAGATCTACGACAGACCAAATATTCTGCCTCAGAACAATCCTAGAGAGAGGAAACAAATATCAGATTAAAACCTACCATCTTTTCGTTGATTTCAAGGCAGCTTACGATAGCATTAACTGGGAAGAACTGTACAAGGCACTTGAAGGGTTTAATATCCCACATAATTTAATATGACTGGTAAAGCTGACCATGAGAGATGTAAAGTGTAATGTGCAGGTTGGTGGTCAAAGACAGGAGAGTTCTGCTCAACAAAAGGACTACACCAAGGTGATATGTTAGCATGCCTTCTGTTTAACTTGGCACTCGAGAAGGCAGTGAGGGATTCAAGTCTGCAAATTAATGGGACTATTTATAATCGGATAGTTCAGCTATTAGCTGATGCAGATGATGTGGACATTGTGGGGCGGTCGTTGTAGTCTATAAGAGAGGAATTTTTAGCTTTGTTGGAAGCCACCAGAACACATGGATTAGAAGTAAACGAAGGCAAAACTAAATATATGGCCACAGGAGAAGTCCATCGACTAGGTGAGACCATCAATATTGGCCCCTTTAACTTTGAGAAAGTAGGGCAGTTCAAGTATTTGGGGTCACTGGTAACACAAGAAAAACCTGAATTCCTGTCACATCAATGCACAATCCCTTACTGCATACTACGATGAATTTCAGAAACATTTTTTACATAATTTTTATCTCTAACAGCAGTATCTGAAACCTGGTTAAAACATTTTATTGCTTCCTCCCAGATTTCCCTACCCAATTATTCTTTCCTACGCCACGACAGATCTGATCGCACGGGAGGTGTTGTCAGATTGTATGTCCATGACAGTCTTAAGGCTGAAATCCTCCTGCAGTCTCCTTCTCATGACTTTCCTCACATGGAATAAATGTTCGTTGAAATTTACTCTATTAACTCTCCTCTGTTATTTGCCGTAGTTTACCGCCCTCCTCGTGTTCCATTTGTTAACTTCTTTGAATCCAACCTTGTCAGCCTGGTTTCCCATTACAACAATATTATTATCACCAGCGATTTTAACGTGAATATGCTTTTGCAATCTCCTGAAAAATACTTCCTAACTGACCTACTGTTTTTCCTTAATCTTTGTCTTGTTCCTTATTCCTCTACCCATCATATGCAATTTTCCCACACCTGGTTAGATCTCTACATCTCCAACTCTCACATCAAAGTCCTCTCCTCTTCTCAACATCCCATTCCATTTCTTTCTTCACATGACTTGATCCAAATTACATACGACCTACCCGTGAAATCCTTTACTCCCAAAATGGTTTCATAACGTAATTTAAACCTTCTCTCCTATGAATCCCTTTAACCTGACCTTGATTCTTTCCAATGGGATATCATATCTTCCTTTAATTCCATTGATCCTATGGTATCTACCCCAACCTCAAACCTACGATCCTTATTAGACACCCATGCTCCTCTGAAAACTAGAATCTTAAGTTGTCCCCCACTGCACCTTGGCTGCCTCCTGTAATAATGGAAATGGTGAAAAGAAGAGATGCAGTAAGGCACAAATACCGTCGAACCTGTTTTCCTGCTGATTATGCATCCTTCAAGGAACCTAATCCACAATCCAACATGCTAAAACTACCTACTTCCATAATGCCCTTTCCAATGCTCCTAATTCCAAATTCAAATGGAAAATACTCTGTAAGTTATCCCTACCAGAATCCAATAAACTCAGTTCCATCCCGGTGACTCCAGATGATCTCAATGACCATTTCTTATCCTTCACTCACAATTCTTCTCCTACTCTAACAAAACTCCATATTCCCATCCTCCTGGAAAATTTCCCTAGTCCGACCTTTGAATACAATTTTCAACCCTACCTCACTGCACACTTCCGACCTATTTCTCTCCTTTCCAACTTTTCAAAGCCGTTAGAACGCCTTGTCCAAAATCAACTCTCCAACTTCCTAGAGAACATTCCCTTATCAACCCATTCCAATCTGGCTTTCGACATGGTTACTCAACGCAATCCGCTCTCCTTAAAATAACCTATGACCTCCAAAACTCCATTGGACACTAAAACCTTACAACCCTCATTCTTCTAGATTTTTCCAAGGCGTTTGACACAGTTGACCATAACATTCTCCTTACTAAATTGCACAATCTTTCTCTGTCCAACAGTGTTGGTTCAAATCCTTCCTTTCAAATTGGTCCTAGTATGCAGTCCTTCCAGGTCAACCTCCATCTAAGATCCTCTCCCTCTCCTGTAGTGTCCCTCAAGGTTTCTCTCTATCTCCTATTCTGTTTGTTATTTACATTAATGACCATCCCCTCTCCTGATCCATCACATCCAATACCTTATCTATGCAGATGATTTCCAAATATACTTGTCCTTCCCACCCTCTGACCTATTATCAGCCACAGAAAAACTTCAAGAAGACTTGGATTTGTGACTGGGCGAGAGCTAACAAGTTGAAGTTGAACGCAGAAAAGACAAAGGCAATCTTAATAGGCTCCAATAACCTCCTTAAAACTATTCCTAATATTATAACTCTGTTCCTACATGATAATCCCATCAAATTTTATCCCTCTATCAAACTACAAATCTATAAAATCTTGGAATAACCTTTGATCAAACGCTTTCCTGGAAAAACCATGCATCCAATATCTTCCGTCGTACCATTTCCACCTTAAAATGTCTAAATTACTTCCGTCACCTATTTCCCCTTGAAATTCGTAGGCTCCTAGTCACTTCCTTAATTTATCCTCACTTTGACTATTGCTGTTCGCCATATGGGAGCGTCTCTGGGGAGCTCAAGGTGAAACTAAAAGGATTGATAAATTGCTTTGTACGATTCATCTTTGGACTCCCAAGGGACGCCTCTGTTTCCCATTTTTATGCAGAGTTAAAGTGGCTTTATCCTTCCTACTATCTTAAGTATTTTCTGGCATCCTTCCTCTTTCAAGTCATCAAATCCCACTGTTCTTCATACATCTCGGAGCTCCTTCAATTCAAATATTCTGTTTGTTCCCGGTCTTCTGATTTATACATGAGGGCCCACCAAACCGCTGCTTTTGACAGATTGTTCATTATCCGATCCTCTTCCCTATGGAACTCCATCCTTTCTAATCAATACCCACATTTGACAATCCAATACCCCTCCTACTTTTAAATCCCTCCTGCCTGTTTAATCATTTCTTATCCATGAAGTCCCCATAAAATTGTAAATAGATACTATTGTAAATATGTATATACATTAGCAGATCGTTTTTCATTATTTTTACTTCATGTTTATTTTCAATTTTTTATTATTAATTGATTTTAGTTAGAAAGTAACTTATAATTTTTTTATTATGACTATTTAATTACTCTGTATTTTTGTTTATGTATCTCTGAGGCTCCTTAGCCCACATTTTGGTCTTTCTGTATTATTCTAAAGGAACTCGTCCCAGAATAAATAAAGTATTATTATTATTATTAATATATCATACCAGGCAGAAATTTTTATTGACTAAGAAATAAAAATGTTAATTCGAACACAAGAGATACAAATAGGAGGATACCTTTCGACTCTCTGGACCACCAAATATATCAACACTCTCAATCGTATCTCTGAAAGAATCGCAAAAATAGAGCCGTCCTCTCATGGTGTCAACTGTCAATCCTGAGGGCCATGTAATATCCTTATTAAGAAAAACTTTTCGATTCTGACCATCCATATAGGCATATTCGATTCTTCCTTCCTGCCCATGTCTTGACTTCCACATACTCCAGAACATAAGTCTAAAAAAATGAAAAAAATAGGTAATATTTCTAGCAATTAATTATCCAGTTTTACAAAAAGGAGCTAAAAAATACTAGGAAATGGATGTTAAACTACGACTTTTGTGTCATTAAAAGTTTAACATTATAAAACTTATGTTTAAGAACTTCAGATAAAGTCAACAAATCAGATAAAGAAAAATGTCTCTGTTTGTGAATTATATTAAATTTTTTATTACAATATTTAAACATTGGGAGCAGTGTCAACAAGGTTTAAACTCAAGGTTGCTTGTATATTACAACAGAAAAGGTAACTTTGGTTGATAAAATATGTATTGTGATTGCTAAGTATTTAAAAAAATTCAATAATGATCCTGAAAAAAGAAAGGATGCATTATTCGTATGATAATTATTTCATTGAAGTAATCAAATTAAATCACATGGACTTAATTTTATTACTTTGATATGCTAACTACAGTTAGTAAAGGCCAATAACAGTAAATTGTCAACAGCTTCATCACCAGTTCAGGTACACAAAAGAAACAAAATTGGTGAAAAACTTGATCAGTATCGATTTTGAGAAAGAAAATATTCCAATCAAAACTAAAGATCAGGAAAGTGAATCTTCAGGACTGGTAGAAGAGGTAACATATTTTAATATTTTATTTTGGAATATTAATAGATATCAAAATTTTATTCAACATGAAGAATACTTGGGCCAGTATATACTATGCCTTGCTAAAACCCATATAACAACTGAAATAAGAGCTAAGCCTGGTTAGATGTCAACATATGGAATCGTTTACAGCCCAGTTTATGGAACTCAATTCCTTTATAGTGTTAAATGGCCAAATTCCAACTGGTAATTATACTTATTGTAGCACTAGTGGATCGAGAATCATAGAGTTTGTCTGGTGTGAAATCGGTGGATTAGAATTAGAATAGAAAATAATTTTATTCTGGGACGAAGTCCCTTCAGAGTAACAAAAAAGTACAGAAATTAAAATTTTACATCTGGCCAGATAAAAACAAACATAAAAAGTAAAGATAAAGATAAATCAGTAAAAAAAAAAAATATTAGTTATACATACTATATACAAAATAAAATAAAATAATCTATATACAAAACTCTCGAAACCATACTAAGATACTTAAAACTATGTACAATGGTAAAATATAAATAAACCCTTTTAGAAAAAATACAAAAAAAATAAATGTAAATTCTTCTTAACAGTAAAATCTGTGTTTCTGTTGAAAAAAAAAACATATAAAATAAAAAAATATGTAATTTTACATAAAAGGTTAGTTGGTATCTGACTGTTTTTGGAACAGGAATTGGAATAGGAGGGTTTTGAATGTAGATAGGGATAAAGAATGTCGGATTTTGATAGGAAGGGAATTAAAAAAATTAACAGAGCGAGCAATAAAGGAGTTTTGGAACGAGGCAGATCTGTGAGAATAAATGTAAAGGTCGGAAGGTCGAGATCTTGTGGATAGGGAGTGGACTGAGGACTTGAATTGGAAAAGATTGTAGGCGTAGGAAGGACGATGATTGTTGATGATATGTCAATATACTACATGTCAATGTAGATAAAACAAAATACATGATAGTTAGCCGAAACATCCACCCTAATAACATGATCTGCGTGGATTCTAAGTCATTTCCGAAAGTAGACAGATTCAAATACCTCGGCTCCACAATAACCTCAATAAATGATCAACTAACAGAGATAGACCAGTGAATAACAAGTGCGAACAGATCTTTCTTTTCTCTTTCAAAGGTACTGAAATCCAGAAAAATCTCCAGAAATCTCAAAATAAGGGTGTGCAACGCCGTGATTAAGCCAGTTCTGCTGCACGGTTGTGAAACCTGGGCTCTAACCAGTACATTAGAAGCCAGAATTGAGAGATTCGAAAGAAAAGTACTACGTAGGATAACAGGACCCATATGGGACCCGAACCTTGACACATGGAGGAGAAGGAACAATAATGAACTGTTGAAAGAAATGGGTCAGTCAATATCTCATGACATGAAGGCAAGAAGGTTAAGATGGGCAGGGCATGTAGCTTGTAGTAATCCATCAGGACGCCTCTACATGACAATGAATGCCAGAGTAGTAGGCAAGAGACCACGTAGGAAGCCAAAAACCAGATGGATAGATAGGATAAACAAAGATATGGTTGAGCTTCATGCAGCAAACTGGAAAGCAGTAGCCCAAGATAGGCAGAGGTGGAGAAGGCTGGTTCAGGCGGCCAAAGATCTACAAGGTCTGTAGAACCAACCGAAAAAAAAAAAAAAAAAATGTATTCAAAAGCCAAAACAAAATCCTGGAAGGCGAAAGCAAAGTTGAAAAAGCCATTATTAATACATCTTTGCTATATTGTGCCCAGGTATGGAGTCTCCGATTAATAAAGCTCTTAGAAAAGGTCAACACAAATTTTTATAAAAAGACATATTAGCTTTGTAAACCAACCCGACTTTTTAAAAAGTTTAGAAACAGGATCTACTCATATCGGTTTCAATATTATGAAGTGATCCTTGAAATGATTGGTTAGGCTTGTGGAAATGGAGGAATTATATATATATCCAAAAATATGTTTCGAAAAGCAAAGAAATAAATGTTGTCTAGCTAATCCTGCTCTTTCGAAATATAATTGGTGTGCTCAGCTAAAAATATTGTTAGATACTATTGGGGAATGCAATCTAGTATATGAAACCAATTCAGCCATAATTAGAACAAATATTAACAGGGTATTAAATAAATATAAACAACATTTGCAGGACGGTGACAGGAAAACATTGCATAGCTCATCCTATAACAGTGTTGGGCAAAATTTATCTTAAATAATAGATAACGAATAATTTATTCGTACTTTCAACTACTAATAACAAATATTACTGTTTATCGAGTTAGGCTTGAGCCTATGACGGAGCAACATCGGGTGTATGTTGTACTCTCCTCTGATGTGTTTTTTCTCATCCGTTCGAGTCCAAAATTGTCACGAATGTCGTTGGAAGGAATTGTGAGCGTGGTACGAAATTCAAAGAAAATCTATCGAGTGTCTTCGGAATTAATCGAGGGTAAAGGAAGCCGCTCATAACTCAGGCTTGGCCCTTATCTACCGTAAGGAATACACCTGCACCTCCCCACCACCGTGCATCACCAGCTGGCTTACCAGGGTCATTGTCAGCTGACACCAATCTGACGACTTCAACCTGGTGTCTGTCATCGCACTAGCCTGACTTCTTTTTATAGTGGAAAATAATAAATATTGTAATAACGATATTCCGCATGTATGTATATACCCTAGTAATTGGGTATAGAAATTTATTAATTTTTTTTTTTTCATGAGGAATGCATTTTCTTTTATGGCTTATTTGCTTGAAGGGTATGTTGATGCACACATATTTGTAATTCATACAATATTATTATTATTATATTTAATTTAATTTAATTTATTATATTTAATTGTAATTTTAACTCCTTGACATTTTTTTTTTTTTAATCCTTATTTATATATATGTATGTATATTGAAATATTATTAATCTACCTATTAAATGTTAACTAATGACATTATTTAACCTATGCATATATTTTTAAACAGTTTTATTCTATTCAATTAATTTTAACACATTGACATTATTTCATTTGTATATATATTTTTAATCTATTTATTTTATTTTAATTTTAACTTATTTTAACTTTAAACTATTTTATCAATGTATATATTTTTTAAACATTTTTTAAAAATTCTTTTATTTAATTCTACTTATTGATATTTAATTTGTGCATAAATTTTAATCGATTTATTTAATTTTAACTTCTTGAATTTTTTTTTAAATCCATTTATATATATATTTTTTTTTTATTTCGTTTGGCACTACAGACCATCAAGAACTTTGGCCGCGAGATATGGTCTCCTTACAGAGGTGTGATACTAGCAGGAGCTCAGACAGCCTGAGGGGGTCACCCAACCTCACGTTGCTACGAACCATGGTTTCCATGGTGCAGCGGCAGGCCACCCGTAGCTCCATAGCCGATCACTTTGCGGCCAATCTGGCAATGTCCTTCCCACCGACTTTCTCGGGTTCAAGGACAGTGACAAATCGGTCTAGATCCATGGATTATGGCTGCTCGGAGTCAGCAGGCGCACGAGGACCTTTCCCTGAAACAGACCGTCCATGGAAAGAACCTCAGGGGGACTATTAAAATCCTGGTAAACCACATCCTGATTCCCGATTTAAGTACACAGGGTAGGGTCATCAGTACTACGCCCGTTCAGTGCGAATTGCTGATGGGCCTCACATACTCGGGGGAGGAGAGATTCGGGCAGCATGGCTTTCCCTGGTGGACGGTCACCCATCCAAGTACTAACCACGCTCAACGTTGACGCTTAACTTTGATTACCTATAGCAAGCGCCTTAGCCCGTACGGCTATATATATATATATATATATATATATATATATAGCCTATATATATATATATGTATAAATATTTTAATCTTCCTATTTAATTATAACTAATCGACATTATTTAGGTTATGCATATATTTTTAAACTATTTAAATAATTTTAACCTATTGACATAATTTTATTTGTATATATATTTTCAACCTATATATTTTATTTTAACTAACTAAAATTATTTTATTTATGTATATATTTTTAAATTTTTAAAAAAAAAATCTTCTAATTAAATTTTACTTACTGACATTTAAATTATGTATATATTTTTAATCTATTTATTTAATATTAACCTAATTACAATATTTTATCTGTGTATATATTTTTCTAAAATTAATTTATTTATCTATTTTTAACTTATAAGAATATTTTAACCTTCTTATGTATTGTGATGTGGATGATAACTTAATTGTAAAGATATGGATGCAAATCTAAATAATTCCAAAAGGGTTGATCTAGGTCAGAGAGTATGGGTTCTGAAATCAGGAGGCACAGTCCAGGAAGTAGTAGTGGCCTCCGTGATGTCTGATAAAAAGTTCCTCGAAACAGGCGT